GAATATCTTATAATAGTATATTCCATATGTTCGTATATAATCTTTTGCCACCAGTATTACTTTATACCTCTCGATTGTTTTATCTATTTTCTATTTGATTGAGAAAATCCGTTTGCATCCCACCGGTTTTTTTTTGCCTTTGGGTTACCACTTCCAAAGTTTGGTTATTTTCAGGTGCTTGCATTTTCACACTCATAATATTTTTCTATTTTTTGCAAAATAAAGTTTTAGATACTATGTTAAGGATATACTCATTATTTAAACTTGCGAGAAAAGTTTTATAGATCAATGAGCATTTATCAAATAACACAAATTATAAGATAAGATATAGAGGCTATTTAGTGCATTTTCTTGTATTTTAATGATGTGCATCAAGTATATCATTGTTAGAGGATTATATGACCTTTTCGAGACTTACCTCAATTTTAAAATCAAGGTTGGATTTTTGAATCGACTTTGGGTCAGTACTCGGCATCTTCCTCCTTGTATACACCTGAGAAAATCTAGAGTTTAGTATATTCTCTTGAGATGATGAATTTTGAAGGTTTTCTTGTGGTTGTGAGTTTTTTGGTGAATTTTGAATGTTCTCTTGTGACAATAGTTTTGAGATGTGTGACAAAATTGGTAAATTAAAATTCATTTGGAATTGTGGAACATTATATCTTCCGATGTAGGGTCCTCTAAAAAAAAAGTTGGGTTAAATAGGGTTCTTGTTAAACAAAGGTGACATCTGCAAACGAATAAAATTTTTGAGTGGGTAGATTGTAACATTTATATCCTTTTTGAGAAGAGAAGTACCTTACAAATAGACATTTCATGTCCTAAGGATCAAGTTTCCTCTTTGGTAGGAATGATATGAAAAAGATAACACATTCAAATATCTAAGGAACCAGATAAATTGTGACACTTATTATTGGGTAAATTTTTTGAAGTGTTTCATGATGATTTTTCAAGTCAAGAACATTTGTGAGCAGACAATTAATAATGTAAGTGATAGTAAGGACACTTTACTCCAATATTGTTTTGAGACATTATTTTAAAAAAGAAAAATTTTGATTCTGGTTAAAAGGTGACTGTTCTTACGTTTTGCTACTCCGTTTTATTATGAAGTATGGACATGATGATTCATGAAAAATTCATTATTGGTGGACGAATGATGAAAATGTATGAT